AAGATGAAATGCACCCCTGCCCATGACAGATGGAAGTGTTTTTTGTGGTTCCTTCAGCCCTTCTCTTCACCCTGCCATTGGGGAAAATTCCATCAATCTTTCCCCTCCAGACTTTACTGGTTCTGTGCCCTGCCAACTCTAGAGAATACTTGTTTCAAACTTGCCCAGGAGTTCTCTCTGAATCTGTGGCCATCTTGGGTTTCTGTAGCAATGCAAGCAACTAGTTTGGGGTTGAGTGGTCAACACCCCATATCTTTAATCCTTTTCCAGCTCCTATCACACATTTGATTTGAAAAGGAGGATAGGAGGAAATACACTGCCCAGAGGAATTCTCTCTCACTAATCTTCTTTTCAGTATTGTTATTGCCTTTGTTATGTGTAGGTGAGGATGGGTGATACGCTATGGATGGCAGAACTCATTCCAACTTCTTAGCAAGTTTTGCTGATGGTCTAGCACCCACTGTCCTCAACTTTGGAGCCTGAGCCAATGGGACCATGCTATTTCATACCGTGCTACAAAAATAGGAGAGTTGGCTACCTCTCCAGGCTGGCTGAAATACAGCCCTGCTTAGACACACTAGGAGAAAACTGTAATTAAATTAAGTAATCAATTAAGGAATTAAATTGGAGCAATCAAATTACCTCAAGCTGTTTTCCAACACTCAGTTTTAATATTTATAAGCTTAAGCTTTGTTTGTCTTTTCTAATCATAGGACAATTCCTAAAATTGCTTGAAAAGTGGAGGAAATGTTTTTTTTTTTTTTTTCCTTTTAGGCCTATGGAAAAAGAAGCCAGGTATAAAATAGAAAAGTGGTTCAAGGACCCTCAGTTCCACCAAAATACCAATCATTTAACAACAAAGATGCCTTAACAAAAGGGGTATCAGAATATGAGCTTTTGAAAGCAGCCATCCCCTCGTCCACTAGTGCTTAGCTGCTTCTTAGAAGAAACTTGAATTGAGTTGAATTCACAGACTAATTTCTATTTCCATCCCTGGGAGACCAAGGGAGAGACATATCAAGAGAATATATATTTTTAAATGCTTGGTGAAACTTCACATTCAAAGAAATATAGATCTCTCTTTCTCTCTGAACGTAGATGTAGAATCTTTTCCATCTGAACAGGTTGACCTATAAGCCATTCTTTTCATGTCATTTTTTCCTCCTTCTTAGAGAGGATCTGTGTGAATCATCGTGGCCATAAAATTCTATGACTGAACACAGATAATTACGTGACTTTTAACTGGAAGAGAACGATGTTTTAGTTCTCCATCCCCTGATGGAGCCGTCTTACTCAGCCATAGATTTTCTGTCACTGTGCAGTCAAGAGCCGGGCTTCGCTGGCCAGAGGGTCTGACGGTCTGTCTGTGGAAGATGCAGGCAGGGCAACCAACAAGACTCAGAGGGGCAGCTTGCTGCAGCTTTCCTAGAATCCTTGTTCAAGCTGGGCTTCTGTCCGGCCAACGGGGCAGCCCTGTCCCAGAGCCAGCAGCACCTGGGCCTCCTGCACCCCCACGGCTCTTGGCCAGATCCCTCTGCCTGACCCTTACACAGTGACAGGACGTCTGGGCGTACAGGGACAAACTTCCACTTCCACTCTGACGTGACATCAGCCAGCACAAGAAGTGCCAAAGTACAGCAGATTGGTTTAATAACTGTGATTTAGTCTGTTCCCTCAAAATAAAAATGAGGTGCCTTCAAATTACAGCATGTTCCCTTAATAATATTGAACATAATATTTATGGAGCGACAGTTCTAGCGGTAGCACACCTTCCTTCCTAGGGCCCTCATACGCATTAGATCACTGGAATCTGACTCTGAAGGGGGAGAGGGTCGGCGAGGGGGGTACACTGGGCTAATATTATGACCTCTCTTTAAAGCCATGGAGATGGGTCATTGCACTGGATGCAACTTGCCTCGCATCACTAGGGTAGGCACGTCCAGGGTCAGAACCAATGCCCAGTCTCCTTGCCCTCACAGTCTTACTGCATTAACTGGGAAGAAGAAGGCTGCATGGCATTTTTAAAAGAATAGTTTGTATTTTTTTTTCTGATTACAGAAGAGTAGTCATAAAAAACAAAAATGCAAAGCACTAGAAAAAAAAAAAGCAAAATCACCCATATTCCCAGACACTATTAACATTTGGATATGTAATCTCATATGTACATTTGTCTTTAAAAATGGTTTCCTACTGTGCACACGGTTGTTAAATGAAATGTCTTTCATTTTCTTCCCAATTATAAAGGTAACACATGCTTATTATGGGAAAACCAGAACATGGATGATCATAAAGAACCTCAAAACCATCCTGTAAACCCACCCACCCAGAGGCGACCATTAAGAAGCACTTTCATTGAATTTGACACTTAGAAAGGCCATAGAGTTGCAACATGTCTCTAAGGCAAGAGTAAGATGTTTTGGGGAAGATTAAGGAACCAAGACTCTGCCATTTAGAATCTAAACTGATTTGACTGGAATGAATGTCTCTTTATTCCAGCTTCCCTAGTCATAAATACAGGCAAGAATTTCCAACTAAGTTCACAAGAATATTTTGGGGATCAATGGTATAACATTGTTTCAGAGTTTTAGATGTTCTGAAAGAAATCTATAATCCCCAGGCCGTGAACCACACTCATTCAGTTTAAGTTTCTCCTTGCCAGGCCAGACCACACGGAATTGAGGACACATGAAAACAGCAGAAGGTGGTTTGGCCGGAGATACACACTTCAGCTTTATCGAGGCCAGGGAATGGAAGGAGCTGACAAAGCAGAGGAGAATGTGGAAGCCCGTCCTTCTATACAGGCAAAAACCACCCAAGCCACATCCATGCACAGGTGCTAAAGGCTCTCTGAGGGAGACAGCTCTTTATTCTAGGACTCGCATACTGATATTTTTTTAATTTTTTGATATATATATATTTCCTTGAAAATTCAGCATGCGGAATGGTCCACCCTCTAGCTTAAATAGCTATCTTAATCATATAGCTGCACCCACATAAATTGAGTAGACGTGATATCTTACAGAGCCAAATGGCAGCACCAAGAGGAAAGTATTTTGATGCTACAGAATATAAAGTCTCAATGGTAACCCACAAGACAGGTGGATTTTTGGTTGTGGCTGCAAAGAGGACCCTAGAACAAAGCACTCAGGTCTGTGTCACCATGCTAAGATACAACAGAACAAACTAACTAAACCAATGAAAACAGTAAGTGTACTCTCAATGTATACGACACCCTGTTAGCTCATATGTGCTCATGCTGTGTGCTTCCCAAAGCCCGCTCCTCCTCCTCCAAAGTCCTGTGTGTTTATGGCAGACGGTACCACTGTCAACCCAGGTCTCCCTGAGCCAAATTTCTTAGCATTATTCTTGGTGCCTCCCTCTTTCACATTCGCCATATCCAATGAATTACCAAGGCCTGCTGATTTCATCTTCTATCTATGTCTCAAATTCTCACTTTCTTCCACCCCTGCTTCTGCCAGCACCGTCCAGGCTGTGGTCATCTCTCATGTGGTCCACTTCTTGACTTCTCGATGGTTCCCATGTCCATTCCTGCTGTCCCCCTGCCAGAGTAATCCTTCCGAAACACAGATCTGACAGTGCTACTGAAAACACTCCAGTGGTTTCCCATACTTCTTTGAATTAAAGAGTCATTTCCATGCAGTAAAAATCACTCTCTTGAGTGCCTGATTGAGACAGACACACACAGTCATGGAACCACCACAGGATTCCAAATAGAAAACAGATCTCTTTTGTGATTAAAAATAAAGCTTGTCATAGAAACTCAGTTTTTTGTATGTGAAAGTAAGTTTTCAATCTACTTGGGTAAATACCCGGGAGTGATATTTCTAGGTTGTATGGCAAATGCCTATTCAACTGTATAAGGAACTGCCAAGCTGTGCTCCAAAGGGGCTGTACCATTTTGCTTCCTTATGTTGTAGGTTCGAGTCTGAACTCCCTATCAATTTTTCCAGGGTCCGTCTTCCTCTTCTGCCTCCCACATGCTGTGTCTTCTGCCCAAAACACTTGCACACTCCCTGTCCTTACCTGAGCCACGTTTTATCCCATTGCCTTAAGGGCCATCTCTGTCAGGAAGCTTTTCCCGAGTCTAAATTATCTCCCCCCATGATTTCTTTCATTTCCTCATTCAGCAAATATTTGATGAATAATCACCAGGATCCAGGCTGTGTTCCAGACACTGGGCTGATGGCAGGGGGCGAAACAAACCAAAGTCCAGGCTCCTCTGGAGCTGACAGACAATGGACAACATCACCACCAACAAAAATATATACTAGAGTATCAGGTGTTGGGAAGGACTATAAAAAAATAAAAATAAAATAAAACAGAGCCATGGGTAAAACCAGAGTGGAATGTGGAGGTATTTTAGATAGGCCGCCTGGAGGACACCTCTCTGGGGTATGAGTGATACCAGGGAGCAGCTCTGCAGTTGCTGGGGAAAGCTAATTCCAGGCAGAGTGAGCAACAAGTACAAAGATATTAAGGTAGAAGAGGCATGAAGAAGCTAGTATGTTCAGGAAGTAGCCAGGGGACCAGCGATAGGAGCCCATAAGCCAGGAAAGAGGGCTGGAAGATGGGGCCTGCCAGGGGTGCCAGGGGCATGGTTCACCCCATCACAGTGGGTCCTCAACACTTTGCCACAGCCCTCAACACACTGGTGCCATGGCCCTGACCCATTTCTCTAGCTTAGGTTACTCTTTTAAAGGCACTGGGTTTAATGCCCCATAGCCAGTGCTTCAGGACCAGAGCGTAGGGAGTTTGGAGAAGGGCCGGTCCCCTTATGTCTTCCATTTCTCTTTCTAGCACATTCAGGTAGTTGAATCCAGAAAGGAAGGGCTATCCAGAGTAGTCTAAAACTCAGGAAGTCAGGGAACAAAGGTGATGTCCCTAAAAGCTCTGTGTATCGGAGGAGATCCCAAGAGGGAGGCAGGTAAGCAACCGTGAACACGGAATCCCCCCAGCCCACTCAGGGCACAGGCTCTTACCTGTGTATAAGCCTGTGTGGTGTGCAGTGCCAGCTGCCAGCACCCCTCCTTCTCCCTTGATGAAGTCTAGATTGTTGTTCTCCTGAAGCATCAACGCGTAGCAGGCGGTACTGATCTGAGTTACAGTCTGGCTGCAGAGAACTCTGGAAGAGAGCTAGAAGAAATTTTCCATGCCAGCTTATGTAATCCAGGGTCTACCACAAATCCTGGCACACAGTTGCTGAATAAATCCTCATTGGAGATGAATGAACTTTGTACAGGTTGCCTCTCCTCCTGCTTCATCTGCAAAGGGAAGGGTTTTCGCTCAGCTAACCCTGAGGACCTCACAGGGCTCTGAACCTGTACTTCGATGGATTTCTAAGTAGTTACAAGCAAAGTAGAGGTCAGCAATAAATACCATGGGTCTCCTCCATTTCCTGGTCATAGTGAAACAGATTTTAATGAGGGCAGAAAAAGAATCGGGAAGGCTCTGGTTTTCCAGGATGGAGCTGAAATAATGCCACTAGTCACATGCCTTTCTCAGCATTGGTGTCAGGGCGCACAGATCAGAAGTTTATATTTTGCATATGAATGGAGTTTAGTTGCCAAAAACGAATTCATCAGAATTTGCCTCTAGGATTCAAGACACTTGGCTATAATGGGTGTGAGACACAGGTGAGGCCTGTGCGGGCTGGCCAGGTGGCTGGGGCTGCCCGGCTGGTGTAACTTAAAGAACACCCACAGGCTTCCTGCCCAATAGTTTTCTTCTATCGGCCTGCCTCAGTGTCTAAAATCCCCACTGTTAGTCTCACCTTTGAGTTAAGGCCTTGAAAGATGGTGTCCAGATGCTCCAGTATGTGGAGAGATGTTAACTCAAAACATTTGCATCTGTTACCATGTTCACAGAATAAGTTTCTCAAACAACAATGATATTTGCAACCTACTGTTGAGCACTAACCCTGTACCAAGCGTTTTACACACTGAATGCTTTGTATTTCAGGTCATACACTCATGGATCTATCTGTCCGTCCGTCTGTCTATCTATCTATCCATACACTTTAGGATATTTATATGTCCTTGTTTATAGGGGTAAACGGAGGCTTGGCAAGAGCCAGAGATCATGCAACCCTAAATGGATTCACACCCAGATCTGCCGATTCTAGATTCTCTCTTCTTCTTTTTAATGATATAACTTTTTTTTTTTATAAATTAATTTTTATTGGTGTTCAATTTACCAACATACAGAATAACACCCAGTGCTCATCCCATCAAGTGCTCCCCTCAGTGCCCGTCACCCATTCACCCCCACCCCCCGCCCTCCTCCCCTTCCACCACCCCTAGTTCGTTTCCCAGAGTTAGGAGTCTTTATGTTCTGTGTCCCTTTCTGATATATACAATGAAGTGCCCAATCTTAAATGTATAGCTCGATGAGTGTTCACACATGCATACCCTCATACAGCTAGCACTCAGACCAAAATAGAGAACATTTCCAGCACCCCAGGAGGCCCCTTCATGCCCCCTCCCATCTGCCCGCCCACCCCCTAGCACTTCTCTCCTGAAAGGGGAACAGGACCTGAGTGCTTAACTGTTTGGATCTGTGAAGGGGGGGGGGGTGGTAGCTCAGGCAAGCTTACAGGGAAAGAGAGGAAGGAAATAGTCCAAAAAAAAAAAAAAAAAATATGGGGGGAGTGGTAGTAATAGGGAGGCAGCACCGGGGAAAGACAAGGGCTTGTCCTCAGGCACCACCTGCTCCTGCAACACAGCCAGCCCGGCCCAGGTAGCTGGGACAACAAGAAGCACCTCCAAAGCGTGTGTGCAGAGATGCCGGGAGTGCAGGACCTGCCTAGCAAGCAGCGCCCGGCTCTCCCACTGCCCGGAATCCCAGTCTCTAACTAGAAGCAGAATGCTGACAAATGAAAAGGAGATGTGTTTGCTGGCACAGTGTCCACGGAGTGGGAACACAGGCCAACCCAGGGCTCCCACAGGAAGTTTCAAACCCACTTTGTAATTCTTAGTTGAGCTATCATCAACTCTTCCCAGATCCAATATTGTGTTTTTACTTTGCTAAGTTTAAACCCAGCTTCTCTGATTGTCTTTCCGTCTGCCCTACAGTCGGGGATGCCAGTTTGGGAACGCTACAACCTCCTCGGGCTTCTGTACGGCATCAGCTGCATTCTCTTTGAGAGAGCTCCTCTGCAAGCTGTCGAGTGTAGACTGGCGGCTTGTAGGTGATTATTCTTACCAGTTCTGCCCCAGATAGGCCTCACTCCATGTCCAGATCTGAAGTCCTCACGAGTTGGCAGGTTTAGACGCACCTCGAGGAAACTCGGTGCCTTAGTCTGTGGGGCAGCTGCAGACAAAGATGAAAAGCTACGAACGTAGGTTTCTGCTGATGGGGAGAGAGGAGCAAGACTTGGCCAAGTGGGGCATGGCTGAAGAAAGAGGGAGGAAGAGGAGTATGAAGAGTGGAAGGAGGGAGAGAGAAGCAAGAGAAAAGCAGGAAAGGGAAGAGGAGTGGGGGAGGCAATGAGAAAGGGAGGAGGGAAGAGAGAGGAAGAGGGGAAGAAGAATACAGAAAGTAAGTCCAGGATGGAGAGAAGTAGTTCAGACTCTGAGAGGACAAGAGAGGACTCTGTGAGACAAGCAAAATGGACTTTTGAAAGCTTGATCATCTACATTATTTGGCAGCCACATAGCTGGAGAGTGCCAAACAACCTACCTCAGTGGGCGCCCACAGGAAACTGGACACTCAACACGGCAAATCTGATTCTGCTCCATGGCATCCACGTGCGCACTTACGCTTAGCAGACACTGGGGTGACTATACACACGGCGGTGGACGTACGTTTGGCCCTCATCAGCCGTGTCCAACTTACACAGCTGAGAAACTATCACAGGTGAGAGAGATAGGAGCGAACAGAACCGGTTCGGGGCCGCCCACTCTCTTCTTTACAACTGCCCCGGAGAGATTTCTTTAGCTGTAACCAATTGTGCTAAACTAGACACACTGCTTTTCAGAACATTCTATCTAAGAAGTCAGGGAAGCATGAAATGATACCTTGAAAAAAGTTCTATCTAAACTGTTTAACAATTTTGTCTCATGTTTATAGGGGGTAGCCCCTTCACTGAAACTGAGCCCCCCCCCCCAAGAAGGGGACAGCCTTTGTCCCCCAGGAGGTCTACAGAGCCCAGGTCCCCCTGCATGTGTGTGTCATCAAAGTTAGAGAAAACCTCTGAGATCTGCTAAGTGGTGCGTCTGTTTGGCCGGGTTTGAGGAGCAATAAAACATTTTACTTTTTAGCAATGACTCCTCACTTAGTAACATCCCTTGCTAGTCAAAAGATACTTGAAGTTCAAAAAATTCAATCTCTTCCCATAAACTCACTCTGACACATATAAAAATAGTGGCTAAGTGTATTAATGATATTTTATTGGCATTTTTCCTGAATTGACAAACATGTGCTGATGATAGTCATCGCACAAAAGTTAGAATTCTGAATCTAGCAATTTAAGTTCACATCTTAGAAAAATCTGTCCACAGAAGGCATCTTAGTGAACTAGAAACACTAGAAATTAGAGGATTTTAGTTTTACTAAGTGGGTAGAGGAGAGTAGAGGAGGGGTGCAGGACCTGCCTAGCAAGCAGCGCTGGTCTCTCCCACTGCCCGGAATCCCAGTCTCTAACAAGAAGCAAAATGCTGACAAATCCACTAAATGGGTATTATTCTTTGGGTAGGTTATATTTATTTACTCATTCATTCCAGAAATATTTTCTTGAGCACTTACTGAATATGTGCCAGACTCTACTGATTTCTGAGGATATAGAGAGGAAAGGCTCCTTCCTACCACCCTGCACTTCCTCAGAGAATGTAAACAAATCATATCTAATTATTTCCAAGCCTACGGTGTAATACTGGCTTCTCATATGAGACTATAAAACTGCACAAGAGAGGCAACTGTGCTATTTACTGTTCATCTCATTTTCTCCATCAGCTAAAGCAATATATGGCACATGGTATTTGCTCAGCAAATATTCATTCAATGAACGAGTTTATCATAAGTTAACATTTACATAACTTACACCTGTTATTTCACTCAATCTTCTCAACTATCCTAGGAGGTAGGTCCTGATCTCCCCACTTTACAGTTGGGGAAACTGGCCACAGGGCACATAACAAAACTGGAATTCAAGCCCTCACAATTTGGAGCCAGAATCTATGCTCTTGTCCACTATCCTATATGGCCTCTGAATGGACTGATGGATACATGAACTAATAAATGAGTGAATGAATGAAGGAATGAATTTAAGTAGTTCACTGACTCTGGGCTTTAGGATCATTATATGAGGATCCTGAATAGCGCTCCTAAACTTTTCTACCAAAGTTTAATACAAGTTCTTTTAACCAACCATGTGACTACATAGATCATCAGCAGGTACTCTCCATTTGTTATTTGAAATGTACTATCCGATGTACAGGAATGGTGGGGGCTAGGAGCCCGTGTCCTCTCTAGCACGCCCTTGTATTTCTGTCCCTGCCACTTGAGTCATATCATTCCCAAATCTGGGTGTGCCTTTTGAGCTTATTATAATCAAATGATTTAATTAAGTATTTAAATGAGTAGATTAAGATTACAAAAGAAACAGCTGTGTGAAAACTATACTGATTAGATGGTAAATATGCAAGGATGGATTCTTGTCTGTGTGAAATAGTTTAAAATAGTGAATGCTGGAAAGCTAAGTAAAAACTTCGGAAATATTTAAGAAATGCAAGTCACTTGTGTTGGCAAACTGCTTTCAAATACTGTGTGGAAGAGACAACAGTAAAAGAATTGTAAAACATCTTGACAGATTTTCCACTTAAATTGCTTTGCCGGTGGCTTTAGATTCTCATAAAGACCAGGCACTTAGGGATATTAGACAGTTAGAAAATCCAATCAATGAACCCACTCTCACAGAAATCCCCTTAGACTGACATCAAAAGAAAAGGAAAATACACTTACAGATTCTATATGTAGTGTTTATATTATATATATATTTATATAAATGTATATATTCACATATATTGTGTTTTAAGATAAAATAAGACATTTTGGGCAAGCATGCATCAATTTTCTAGGATTCTTGTATTTAATCATTTTAGTAGGAGCACAAAGATTTCAAAAAACTTCCTCAAAGTCTCATGTTTTATCCTAAAGTTTATATGAGCTTTGTACCCCATTCTGTGGTAGACATTAATACTGTCCACCAAATATTCCTAATTCTTCTGGGCACACAGTAGAGTTGCACCTCCCTGACCCTCTTTGAATATAGGTAGGTCTGGGGGAACCTGGGTGGCTCAGTGTTTGAGGGTCTGCCTTTGGCTCAGGTTGAGATCTTGGGGTCCTGGGATGGAGTCCTGCATCAGGCTCCCTGTGGGGAGCCTACTTTTCCCTCTGCCTATGTCTCTGCCTCTCTCTCTCTCTCTCTCTCTCTCTCTCTCTGTGTGTGTGTCTCTCATGAATACATAGATAAAATCTTTTTTTTTTTTTTAAAGAAGATAGGTAGATTTATATGACATTCTTTGGCCAATGAAGTGTATGAATGGAAATGACAAGTGCCACTTGCAGGTGAGTATATTACGATCTAGCTCATGACTTACCTATTGTCTTTTCCTCCACTAAAACAACAGATAAAGCCCTATAGAGAGACTGTCCCATCAATCTGGATTCTGGAAGGAAGGCAACGTGGAACATAGGCCTCAGCTGACCCTCATGTTACAGGAATGAGAAATAAGCTTGTTGTCTTAAATCACTGAAATTGGAAGTCTTTTGCTATCAGAGCATAATCTAATCTGTCCTAATACATACTCCATGATATATTTGTAGTTGTAAATATATATGTGCATTCCCCATCAAATTTGAAGATACACTTAGCACTCCAGAGAGACACAACACATTTACCTAGTGACTTAGTGTACCGCTTATCCTTTTTTTTCCCCTGTGAGAAGTAGAGAACCAGATGTCTCTAGAACCCCTTCAGATGCTGATATTATGTCATGCTACATTTGAGGAAAAAACAGGCACCCGTGAAAGTTGTGCCTATGTCGCTTCACTAAACTAAATAAAATAAAATTAATTTGATTGGAGAGCTGTTATATCTGATTGTGGAGCAATTGATTAGATTTCCAAAGAGTCAATCTGATTTGGTTGCTCTTGTTTCGATTGTCTTAATGAGGGAACTGGATTGCTCAGTGACCCAATTGATTGTTTTGGCAATTGGCCTGCCAACTGTTGGCTGTTTAGCCAGTGCCACAGCTTGACCCTAGGACAAAAGGTAAAATTAATTCATTTGCATGCTGAATTCCAGCATTTTCCCCTACAAGCTGCTATGTGTCAACTTCTGTCATATAATAAAAAATATTTATCAGCTGTAAATATTTAAAATGTATAATCTCCCCTGTTATACATGCCACCCCAAGAGATCTAAATATTTTGTGATGCTATTAACTTTGATGGGGTCAAGCTTCAATTTTAAACTCTGTGCAGACCTCTACTTCCCTGGAGAGCTTCATTTCAATATCTCTTAGGATCAAAAATTGATTATCCCTTGCCCTTAAAAATAATTGATTCTGATTCCATCAATTCAAAATGAAAATACTTGTGCAATGGTGGAAGAATGGACTCCAGCTCCAGAAGATCAGTGACTAGTTCTAGTCATTCTTGTGTGCACTCAAACAATGCTTGGGCTAATTGTGGGTGCTTAAAGATAGTGAATGCATAAGTGAACGAGCCATCAGCTACTGATGGAGAAGAACCACTAGTCCTTTATTTCAGTTATTTTCTAAAAGTGTAAGGAGTGTTTTTCTGAACACATGAAGCAATCAATATAGCTTCATGGTTACGTGCTTCGGGTCTGCAGTTAGTTGAGTCTGAATTTGATTTCTGATCTTGTCAGTATGGCAGATTGTATCTCCCAGAGATGGTCACAATGATACCTCCCATCCAACAAGACATTTTGCAATATGAACTTGCAGTCCCCCGCTATCATGAGGTAGTCAATTTTTCCAGTACTGAATCTGGGCAAACTCTGACTGGTTTGACCAATAGAATTAGCAGAAGTTATGATGCACCAGTTACAGACATAGCACTTAACTAATCAGGGAGTTTCTGCTTCCTGTCTCTTCCACCACCAGGTAAAAAGTAGAACCCTCTGAAGCATGAAGGTTCTGGTTGGATTACTTCTCAGATGATGCAAGCACAGAGACAGGATACATCTTGAGATAAAATTGGGTGGATTCATTATTAGACACATTGAATTTGCTTTACCTTTTGGAACACAATTTTAGTAAGGAGTTGGCTATAGAGGTTTGAAATTTGAAAGTGAGATACATATTGGAAATACAAATTTGGGAGTTAACGGCAAATAGATGGTACCTGGGAACATGGAGAGTTAGCAAGATAGATAAGAAGGAAGATTATTTTTAAAAATAAAAGGCATAAAGGATATGAAAAGAAAGTGGGCCTGGGGTCATAAATATAAGGAACCCCATTGTTTAAGGAAAGGGCAGAGCAAGAATAACTGTGAAAGAGTTTGAGAACGAGGGTCTAGAAAGGCAGGTGGCAACCCAGGAGAATTCTGTATCACAGAAGCAAAGTGAAAAGGCTTCGAGAAAGAAGATGTGGTCAGTTGTGCAA